TTAAAAAATAAATACATAAATAATTTCATGTTTTTAAGTACAATATTATGTTACTCCACAGCCCCCCACCATGGGGGGCTGATGCTATGACGAGGGAGGCTGCAGCCCCCGCAGCACCCCCCTTCCCGTGCCACTGCTCTGCTTCTGTCTCCTTGAACCCAGTCGGCCTCTGCAGATGGCCGCTCACACTGAACCTGGTTCTGCTGGAGGTTTCTTCCTGTTAAAAGGGAGTTTTTCCTATCCACTGTCGCTACAAGCATGCTTAGCGTGAAGGATTGCATTCCAGTCAATGAGCCGATGCAATGAACTGGTTTTCCTTAGATAGAAAACTTTGAATCAATTTGACCGTATGATCTGGTGAACTGTATCTGGTAAAGTGCCTTAAGATGCCATAGGTTGTGAATTGGCGCTATAGAAATAAACTGAACTGAAATTTAATTGAATTGAATTAAAAGACAAAAATAATAAATTATTATGTTAGCATGACACTGCAGTTTGTTGAATGCAACCACAGTGAGTTACTGGTGCATATAATAAAAACAAACAAATGACATAACTATGCCCAGTTTAAAAATGTTTTTTAAATATTCTCCAAGATTTGGCTGCTTCGTTTCTCCTTTTGTGTTTCATGCATGACTGGGATTGCACTAAAAGATACATGGAAAGGCCAGGTTTTTATTATTTTAATTTTAGCGTGATTTTAAAAAAAGCATGAGAAGAATATGATTTTCAGTAAAATAAAAAAAAAATAAATCTCTGCACCAGATTCATCCATGTGTAAATTTTGATCTGCAGCCCTCTGATTTCAAGTGTTCCATGATCTCCAGACTGCGTAAAAGCTACAACTGAGCAGACAATGCTGCACAATAATTTTTGCCTGTTTCCTTGTTTTTATCTACTTATATCTCTGCAAATGCATTCAGAGGGAATAATTCAGGTAGAATCTAAGCTCTGACACCTGTAGTTCCTCTCTGTGAGGGATATTTATGTAATATTTTACAGCTGCTGCTAACAGATTTTCCCTTTCCTCTCCCATCCTGCTTCATTTCTGAGGTATAATGAGAGAGGAAAGCATTTCACATTCTGCCTCCTGGAGAGGTCCCATCTTCCTGCTATCTCTGAGCAGCCACCTCACGGATATTTTGAAAGTGATTTTAGTCTAATTCGAAAATATCACCAAGCCTTACAGTGCCTTGCAAAATTATTTACTCTTCTGCTATATTAAAACTTGGTGCATTTTCTTGGGATTTTATGTGTGCGACCAATTCTAAGTAGAGCACCAATGTAAGGAGGAAAAAAATCCATTGTTTTCATTTTTCTTTAGGAGAAATAATCTTATTTTTGTATTCAGCCTCCCAGAGTCAATGCTTTGTAGAAAGCGCACATCTCTACCAGATTGCACACCTGAACGCATAAATGTTTATTTTGAAAATAAGTTCTGCTTCATCTGAAAAAGAAAATTATGAGCGTTACAGCAGGCTTTTTGGAAGACCCTCCCCCATGGATATTTTAAATAAAACTTCTCATAAGATTTTTTTTTAACTCTTCCATGAATATTAGATTTATCCTGATGTCCCAGTCATTCTGTCAACAGAAACAGGGAATCACTTCATGAGCCTCTTGGCTGCTTCTCTGTTTACTGTCTCCATCATCAGATGATGAGCTGAAATATTGTCTATCCTAATCAGGCCTATTTTCTCTGCATAACTCTTGCAATTAAATGCACATGATTAAACAAATTCTCAATTTTCCCCCTTTTTCAGAAAATCAGTCCAATCAGGTCCTTGCCTTCCAGTGCTTTGCCTCCTTGCTTCTTTAATTTGTGGAAAAAACCCTAAATCTCCAGTCTGTTCGTCTTCCAGAAGCTTCTCCTGCCCTCAAAATTTTACTGCTGAAGTTAAAACTCTTCCTGCCGAATTTTAAGTGGACCGACAACATTACCCTAAAAGCTCCGCCCACTGTTACCTGCCAAAACTAGATCTTGTTGATGGGCTCACGACTTCTTAATAGAAAGTAAATCTTTTCAACCCAAACATTTGAAAGCCATTCATCTTCTTCTGTACACTATTTAAGTATGCGTTGTTCCACCCATAGAAACATGTGTGTTTATTCCTCTAAAGTTAATAAAAGGGGGCATGAATAGTTTTACAATACATCGGTTCATATGGAACTTGTAGTTACAAGTAGTTACTGAAACATGAGTATTCAGGAAAAAGAAAAGTTATATAGAGCGAGTTTTGTTCCATTATTGTTGCAAGCAAAGAACAGGTTTTATAGATGGAGATTTAAAAAAAGAAAAAAAAAGAATAAGGAAACACAATGCAGAAACTTTGAAAATTGTTTTAACCCAAAAAAGGTGTGAAGAGTAACTTTACCATTTTCTCCAATTTTATTTATTTATTTTTTATTTTGTTTTTAATATTTATTTCATATGTCGTGTTTTCTATTTTTATTTCTCCAAACTTTATTTTGTAACATTTTTTTTACATATTTTATATTTTCAACTGTCTTTTTTTAAAAAGAGTTTAATGGATTGCATTGTTTTCAATTTGTGTATAACAAATCAAATTCTCTTCACTTTGAGCCAATTATATTAATTTACTCTCGCACACATTGATCAATAAAATGCTATTGCTAAGAGAGCAATTTGTAAAACTGAATTTAAAAAACCTGTTAATTAGCAAAAAATGTCAAAAATATATATTTTTTATTTATATATTTATTTAATATACTTTTTTTTTTATCTATCGAGTTATATATTTTTATAAATCTGGAAAATAAAATCTAAACTAATTTGACTTTTATTAAAAACGTTTTATATATTCAGAATGCTCATTTCTTAATTGCATTTTATTTTCAAATGTCCATTCACAAAATGTGTCCTTTGCTTGCACCAATAATGGAACAAAATTCACTGCATAAATTTGCACATATATGATCATTTCTTGTTTTTTGTGGCAGCTTTTGGATACCCTACCAAGAAGACCTGTGTGTTCATTTCCACTACCTTTAATATCATGTCAAAGTGTATGAATAACTGAATGAGAGTTTCCCTCTGGATTCAACACCATTAATTACAATTAAAGACAAAAGTAGAAAAGCTTTGATAAATATTCATCATCTTAGTCACCAGTTAATAAGTTTTGTTCAGGAGCAAACAATATTAAACTCGGGGAATGAAAAAGTTGCATCATTATCTGGCACCAGCTTTATTGAATGCAAATCGGAAATAGATGAATTTTGGTCAGTTTAAGTGCTGATCCCAAGCTGATGCTGCTCAGATCTCCCTAGCCAAGCCTTCCAAGATTTGCTGCATCTGGAGTGAAAAAAAATATTTAAACCAACTACAAACATGTTCATCATGTCAGGGGTAAAACATAGAGACTTAAGATCACTGGTTTAGAACAGTAGAAATCTACACATAATATTCTCAACATTTACCTCAGACCATGTGATTTGTCCCACCAGCTTTCCTCCATCTGCCACAAATAAAGGGTGAGCTCCAGCTATGCTTAGTACACTGTAGGCCTGAGAGGGAAGAAAGCAAACAATGTGAAAATACAGATTATAATCAAATGATTTTGGCTACATTGATTTCTAGATATGAAATAAATTAATTGCAATAATGCAGATAAATCTGTTTGTACTCCTTTTAATAAATATGTTTTTTATATATATGTATATATAATATGTAGTTTAATGAATATCATCCCAGAAATCCCCTTAAGAAAATGCAATAAAAGCTTTTATTGACTTAAAATTCACTTTATAGTTTCAAAGCAATCAATCTATGACTGTCTGTTAAGCTTGGCTATAAATATGACGAGACTCTGCAACCATTTTTTTGCTTTTTTCCCGCGGGTCATTAAAGTGGATAAGGTTTAATGTTTTTTTCTTGCTGCATCAACAGAGCACAGTATAAGAGAGGTAAGAAATAAAATCTTCAAATCTCACTGAGAGAAAGATAACTGCTGTAGGGAGCTGGAGATGAACACATTTCCAAAATAACATACCAGCAGGTTGTTTAGACTGCCTTCAATTAAAGGCTTTTTCTCCTCTACCATCATAAACATGAGCTCAGTTTGCTTAGACTCAAAGTGGAAATATGTGCTTTTTTAAGATAAGACAGGAACAAACACTCCAGGTGAGTCATGCATGAAGCAAATAAGCGGATGATAGTAGATTGATGAAGCTGTGGACCCCCAGAGAAAATGGAAACCTGATAGAGTGAATGGCATTGTGGACTCTCTGAAATACAAGGGAATTCTTTTTAACCCAATAGGATTCTTACCCAAAAGCATAAGAATAGGTAATCATTCGTTACCAAGTTAGCAATCAAAACGTGTGCCCAGATCACATCAGAAATGCTCTGCCCCTCATCTCTGGCCCCTGGCCCCAAAACCTTAAAGACAACATCTCTGAGTGAATCAGCGCTGTCTGATTGGCTCCACAAAACATTGACTGCACTGGTGGCCATGATTCTGTAAATACAATAAGTTCTTAAAGGTCATTTCTACAACAATGATTTTTTTCTAAAATAATACATCCACATGCAATCTGGAAAGGTGCAGAATAAAAGTATTAATTTTATATTCAACAAAATATACTTCAATAATTAATTTCACAATTTTAAGAATATACAGTAATCTATCTTGACCTAAAGTTGACATTATCTTGACATTCAATAAATGTCCCACATGACTTCGACAAAGGTAAGGCCTTAGCAGATAGTAGCTCCAACAGAGCGAGAAATGTCTTCTTCTTAATGTTACACCTATCATGTGCAAGCAGACCAAAAATGCTCAACTAAAGTGACAATTGGTCAAGGGTTTAAGCATTTGTGCAACTTAAGGAAGCAAAGCAGCTAAAGAGCAATGTGAAGGCTGTTGCATTCCTTCTGCACAGGTGTATTAAATGTTTCTAATGCTATCTAAAGATGAGGAAATTTGTCAAATCATAGAATGTAATTTTTTTATTGTCTAATTTTTTGATAAACTCCCTGTTCATTAATTAAAGTAAGACTTTAGTCAGAGTTTCTTTTTCTGATGTTTTTTGCTGTTTGTATTGAATGCTGTGAAACTAGAAAGATTTTTACTGATATTTTTTCCTTTTTAGATATTTGTTATGATGTATAACCACAGAAACCATAGCAAATTTTTTTTATTTTAGATAGTGAACCTCTCCAAGGCTGAAATATTACATCCGCTACCTCCGTAAGTACCAGCTAAGTTGAAAAGGCAACTTCGGGGATGCAGAGCAGCAGCAAGGAGACAAGAGAGGGAAAAGAAATTAAAGCCATGTCTTCCATCAATTATCATGAACAGTGTGAGATCTTTAGGAAATAAGTTAGAAGAACTCAAAGCCTTTGCAATGACCCAGCCAGAAAATCGACAATGCAGCATTATGTGTTTATTGAAACATGGATCCAGGATGATTCCTTGGACTCAAGCATTTCTCTCTGCCAGACTTTCTGACCATAGGAGCAGGAAGTTTCAGAAGTTTAGAATGTTGGACCCAGAATTCAAGCACACAGATGCAGAGGAGAGTGTTTACAAAGCAAGCGTTTATTAACTGCTCAGTGTAGAGCGGTTCTTCAGCTGGGGCAGGATCACTGGATACTCTGAAGAGGTGAAAACTCAGGTTAGGGACTACGAAACTGAGACGGGAAAGGATAATGAGCATGTGAGTCAATAACCTGGTCCAATCCTCAAGCTGTTTTTCCACAGCATGCGGCAGGATCTGCCACCAGAGTTCCAGGAGAGAAACAGTGCAGACTGAACAGAAGTCAACAAACGCCGAAGAACAGAAGAATCCGAAGGGATAATCCAAAGTCAGAGTTGATGCTAGAGCAGGTTTCCGGGCCCGAAGATCAGAGATCCAAAGAGGTACCCAAGGAGCTCCAAGCTGGGGTCAGGAATGAGATCCAAGGTCTGAAGACAGATCAGGCAAACAGAGCAGAACAGGGGCAAAAAATACTTGGAAGCCCAGAGCTCTCACACATGGCTCGAATAATCTATCACCGATGGCTGGGAAAAGGCAGCTTAAAAAGGAAACAGAAACAGGTGGATCTGATGAGTGACAATGAGAACTGGGCAGAGCTAAGCCGGTGGAAGAAATGAGCCAAAGCTAGCCATCAGTGCCAAAATCATGAAAGACAGATTAAAAAAAAAAAAAAGAGTGGAATATTCAAAGGAGGTGGGTAGACGCTGCTTGTGAACAACGGATGGCGTAATCCAGGACATGTTACTGTAAAGATCCATCACTGCAGCCCAGAAATTGAATTTTTGATTTTTGGCAATATTGTTTGCCCAAAGAGTTTACAAGTGTTCTTTTAGCAAATGTTTATATTCCACCTTCTACTATTGCCAACACTACATGTGAGGTAAAGTGCCTGCGTTGCCAAACAACGGAATGCATTTATGCCAATAACAGGTGATTTTAATCCAGCCTAACTCTTTGCTACACAACGTTTATCAGTTTTTCAGCTGCTGTACCACAGAAAACAAACTTTGGACTTAATTTTTTTTTTGTGAAATGTCAAGAACTCATCCATCTCCGAAGTAAAAACTCATAAGGGGAAATCAGATCAAAATCTTGTTTTTTCTCTGCTCAGATTATAAGCTACTTTATAAGAGAAAACCTGCATTTAAAGAACTGTAAGAAGATGGTCAAAGGAAGTTGAAGAAGCCCTGCAAAGTTCTTTTGAGACTACAAACTGGGATGCACTTTGTCAGCCACATGGAGAGGACATCGATACAATGAATGTTTGACTGACTACATAGACTTCTGTGTTGATAGCACCATCCCTACTAGAACAGTGAAATGCTTTCCCAATAATAAACCATGATTCACAAGTGGACTGAAGCAACTTATTAACAAAAACAGAAACAAGCCTTTAAGAAGGGAGGCAGGTAATTAATGAGGAGTATACAGAAGCAAGATAACATAAATCAAGGAGGCATACAGGAAGGCTGGGACACAAGTTCCAGCAAAACAATATTAGAGATACGTGGTCAGGGATGAAGAAAGTCACAGGCTTCAAGCAGTAGGTAGATCATATAGATCAAAGTTTGGACAGAGCGTATAAACTGAATACATTCTTCAACAAATTCATTTCAGGAACAACCTCAGCATCCTTCTCACTTGCCTCAGTTACATGGACATCCATCCTTCCCTCCTCTGCCATAGACTCTCCTGCTTCTATGAGTTTGTTGTCAGCCAAATCAGAAGATGCATGACGGCTGGAAGTGGGGGTGCTGCACCACCCCCTAGTGACCAGAGGGAGATTTTTTTTTTCTTTTTATCTATTAAAAATATTTTTGCATAATTTTTTTTTTTTAAATATGTTGGTATATGATTTTGACTTTTTTATCTTACTATAACATGTATTTGGATTTTAATTTAATTATTTTGAGGCCTAATCAACAGACATTCACAGAAGTTAATGGACAAGGCAATGTCAAGCAAGCTAGTGGTTGCAGCGTAAAAAGGTATACCGCTCGCGGCAGCAGACTAGTAAATGTACATAGTCTGATGACAGAAATATAGCACAGAAATGCATTTTTGGAAAACCACCCATTTGGAAAACACTAGTATCGCAACCATGACAACAGACCAACCAGAGTGGGGATTAGACAAGCCCATCCAGCCAACATCCAGTTTCAAATTTTCTGCACGGTGGTAATGAAACGTTCTCACGTTCTGTGGCACCAGCTTGGTTTGCTAGATGAAAGGGGCTGCATTATGTGGAAGACATTTTGATATTTTGAGTTTCATTTGTCTGAAAGCAGTTAGAAAAAAAGTCATACCTAGAGACAGATTTAAGAAAGACAACCCCTTCATAAATGCCGGCTTTTCAAATTGGCATAAAGCAATTTTTTTTATTGTGAAGTTTGTGAAGTTTAATAAACAGGGCATATATTCACCTGAGAACTGATTAATGATTATTGTGGTTAAAGATGTATGTGTGTTACAGCCCCTATTTGTGTGCAGTGAAGTTTATATGACAATAGATCTCCTCAATTAAATCTCAATCTATTTATTTATTTTTATTTATTGTATTTTAAACAGGCCTATAGGCTCATAGGTATTAAAAAAATCAATCAATCAAAATTACTTCAAGTGGCTCTGGAAGATGGTGCTCCTCCCTCCACCTTCCACCTGTCTGTCTCTAAAAGTCAAGTGAAGAGGCAACTGGAGAGAGTGGATCGCAATAAGTCACCAGGTCCTGATGGTGTCAGCCCCAGAGTCCCAAAGGTCTGTGCAGACCAGCTCTGTGGGATTCGACAGCACCTCTTGAACCTTAGTCTGACCCAGGAGACAGTTCTAGTGATGTGGAAGATCTCCTGCCTCGTTCCAGTACCAAAGAAAACTCAGCCAACAATCCTCAGTGACTTTAGGCCTGTTGCCCTGACATCCAAGCTCATGAAGGTACTAGAGAGACTTCTATTGGTTTACTCAGCAAACAAACAAGGAACCATTTGGACCCCCTGCAGTTTGCTTATCACCATTGAGTTTGAGTTTAAGATGCCATTATACACCTGCTTCAAAAAATCAAATGTCATTTAGACATCTGAGGTCCAAGTTCTTTGATTTCTCCAGTGCATTTTACACAATTCAGCCTTGATTTATGAGAAATTCCAGAAGACTCAGGTGGAGGCCATCTAAATCACAATTGCCACAGTTTGTTAGACTGAAGGATCCATGTGTAATCAAGTAGTCAGCAGCACAGGAGCACCAAGGGAAAGGTACTCTCTACATTCCTTTTTACTCTCTATATCTCTGACTTCCAGTAACATACTGAGTTGTGTTATCTACAGAAATACTCAGATGACTCTGCAGTCTATTAGGTGCATTAAAGATGAAAAAGAAGTTGAGAACAAGGAGCTGGTGAACCACTTTGTGGCATGGTGTGGAAATAATCATTTGATCGTGAATGTCAGGAAAACAAGGAAGATGATTGTAGATTTCAGAAGAAACAGGAAAGGATTTGAATCCTATAAACATAAGGGAAGCGACAGACCAGACTGTACTTCTTAAGGAAGCTTAGGTCCATCAACGTTCAGCAACAAGATGCTATTTTTATTAAGTCTTTTGTGAAGAGTGTGATCTCTTCCTCAGTCAGCTAGGGTAACAACATCAGAGCAAATGACTTTAAAAAACTCAACAAGCTAATAAAGAAGGTTTGCATTGTTTTAGGAACTCCTACGGAAACTCTGGAGATGATTTCACAAAGATGAAGAATTCATAAAGAGATTATGTATGACAGTATGAGCATCCTCTTCAGAACATTTTTAAACAACAGAATGACACCAGTCAGAGGCTTCTCCAGTATCTACCAGCAAGTGAGTCCCTGAATTTTGGAATCGCTCCCTTTTGGTAGAACAGAGGTGGGATTAATGAAAGCGAGGCATATTGATTTCAGCACTCTCCAGCAGATGACAAACCTAAATGGCGCTTTGTGGAATGTGCACTCTTAAGGGCTTGTCTGGTTCAAACAAAGAACCAACACAAAAAACAAACTACCTTCACATTCCGGATTTTCCAGGAGGTTTTAACTGAAGCCCAATACCAACACACGTTAATGACTCCTTCAAAGGAAATGCTCAAGCGTTTTAAAGGACGTTACTCAATTCACATACTCAAAGATGAACTGGCATGTCAGGATAAACCACACTTGAATACCTCACACATTCACTCTGGGACAATCTCTCCCTGCTCCTTCCCCCATTGGAGAAAGATTTTTATTGGTTGAAACAAAGTTAAGATCCTAATACCCTGTATGGATTATAGAGGTCTTAATCACATAAATGTAATAACCTAACCTTTTTCCCCAGTTAGACCTCCATGAGGCTTCATTTGGTCAGGATTTGTATATATCAAAAGAGGGGAAAAAACTGTTTTAAAGCTACAGTGTGTAATTTTCAGGGACATCTAACGTCCAGACTGCAGACCGCAGCAACATGAACATCTCCCCCCCACCACTTCTCCGAGCGTTACGGGACAAAATGTCTTCCAATGTCCGCATCACCTACCTTCTCAAGTGATGAGGTTTGTTTACATAGATAATTTTACAGATAGTATTTCATTAGTCTGTGTGTTCAGTACCGTCTCAGTTCATCTCTCTCAACTTGCCGTAGTTACTTTCGAGCGTAATGGGCGATCTCGCAATCGCTAGTTTGTTGGCTCTGCGCTGCCGTAGCGCAAAGATGTCTGCCTCCATGGCTGCGAGACCCGCTCCTATGTAATTATAAATAACGAATTCTAAGGCAACGCAAATATTAAGGTTAAGAGGCTGAGCTCAGAGATGATGATAAATAACATAGTTATGTATAATATATTACATTTCTGACTGTATATCCCTGTAATTATTACACACTGTAGCTTTAAAGACTATTTTAGGTCATTATAAGTCACTAGTAATGCAATTAATTTCCAAAAAAGTAAAAAAAAAAAAATACTGGACTCTGATACCTCGAGATGTTCTGGTCCCCTGTATGTGGGTGGGTTTTTACAGAGGCATATACCAGTATCGGGTATTGAAGGCTAACAAAGAAGTCAAAATGGGCCATTCTTCAGGACGAATTTGCATGTTTTCTAAGCCAAAACAATGCCACTCTATAAAGTCTCGAACTCACCACTAATTTTGACATTTTGAATGAAAAAAGCTTCCTGGGTGGAAAGTTTAATGTCATCAAACCCTGAAATTAATTCCAGTGGATATTTTTTTTTTTTGGAATAACTATGACATGGATGACTGAAAATCTTCACCAGCATAATGCAATTAAGCCTTACAAATGCCCCAGCTGTCTCTCAACCACTTGTTAAATACGCTCAAAGGATATATTTGGATAACTTTGCCTTTGTCATACTTGTATGACAAACCAGTTTTCAAGAGGAACCTTGAGGAACATCAGTCCCACTAAAAACAGGTTATCCAGACAGAGGAATGTAAATGCCTATAGAGAATGTGAGAATGAAAAATAAATGCAATCAGGACTAGCCAATGCCAAACACCTCAGAAAATGGCTCCATATTTTTTTCAGGCTTTGCTCATTTCTACTGATGCTCCATAAAAGATTTCAGTTCTGCCGTTTCTCCTCTGGAAACCATTTCTCTGGACGCTTGAGGCAGAAACACCCTCACTGAACTATAAGAGGTTTGCCTTGGCTCTGATACGGATACACCCAAACCCACACCCAACTCATCATGGATCTGGATGACCCATACAGTGGAACATGCGCTGTCATATGTCACTGATAACCTGTAGATGTCAAACTACATCCATGCACCTTCTTTTTAAAAGCTCACAAAACATGACAGGGTCAAACTGCATCAATAACCATTGCACCCAGATCCATGCAAAGCCTGTCTGTCCTAATCAAATCAGACCTACTTATGTACAAACTAAGAGACACTAATTTTCAAACAGCTGTACATGTTTTTGTATTTGTAGTTGTACATTTGGAGCAAAGTGGAAGCCAAAATCCTTGTTCATAAACACGGTGTGGCCAAAAAGGCCAATTCTTGTTATGATCTATGTCTTGTTTCCAGGCTAGGGTTGATATAATATGTTCTGTTTCTCCTTACCTCCTCTACTGTAGTGTCAGCTGATACCAGGATGGAGTTTTGATGTATGCTGCAGACCTCATCCAGCCGTTCCCCCACACTCTGCACAAAAGTATTTAGAATTCGTTTCATGTGGTGGGGTTCGTCGGCTTTAGCTGTGGTTAAAAATCTCTTCATATTTCCTGAAATAAAATTTTGGCCTAAACTGTTGTGTAATTTTTTAATAAGCAGCATTTATCTGTTATTAAATGTTATTTTCAGATTTATGTGAGTCATCAAATCAGTTTTGACACCAGGCTATCAGAAGTCCATCATGTTTCATTCCTATATTTTCTTTTTAACTCAAATACATGCTAAAGATAGGAATTATTATTAATCGATATTCTTTAAAGCTTTGCAGAGATCCCTGCCTGTGTATGCAGCCCTTTACCTGAGTTTGACAGTGGTGCAGAAACAGCAGCAGCTCCGATCGCAGAACATAACCCAGAAAAAGCTTTGAATCTGACAATAACAAAGAAGAAAGAAAGCCATTTGTATAGTCTCTGTGAGAAAGGGTTAAAGGTCCCAGACACAAAAATTGCCCATATGATTGCTGCTGAAATGCTCAGAAGTCTATTTTCACGAAATTGTCGCCTCAGTGAGCACTTTCACACCGATGAACTGTTTCAGCCTGTGAATGATTCTCAATACCTCTCCAACTTTTTGCTCTCTTCAAACAATCTCTCAAAGTAACAGTGAGTTTAACAATAATTTCTGAAGGCTTTTTATGTATTATGTGTCT